ACTGTGGGCCAGGTTCTATTCCACCTAGTAGATATCTAAGTGGACTTAGGTGCCTAGGTGAGATCTTGCTTGAGACCCTGAAAAACTCTTAGCATAATAGGTGGGTAGATCTGCTCCCTGCTTTTCTGTGTTTTAGTCTTCAAGTACGTTACAAAAATAGATGCATTCACAGTTTTTTCAGGGACTTGAGCAGTGCGGAATAAAATCGTGCTTAGGATTGTTTAGTGCTTCACCCCACCAACCCCTCCACAACACTGGCTTCCTTTTAAAGGGGGGCCAGCCTGGAAATAGAGAGTGCAGAGCCCCTAAGAAGAATTTGACAAGCCCCTTCTTGATTCACCCCCCCAGCACCCAGAGTCATTGCTTAGAGCTGCAATTTGGCCCCAAATGTGCATTTAGCATAGATCCCTGGGGGGAAAGTGGTATTTCACAGCCTTCTAAGTACAGTATAGCTTTTCTTAGCAATGCTGCTTTCCATTTCAGCTAATTCTATAACTTTGTTTAGTTTCACCCAATGAAGCAGTGAACCCATGGATTTTGGGTTTCACTGCAACTTAAGCTAATTTGGGAGAGTTTTGCCCTAGATAACTGAATGGGTTACAGTGGGCACATCTACATCTGAAATTAACTTAACCGAATAAACTTTGGTGCACGTCGCGCCAGAGTTTATTGCTCCTGCGTGCAGTGTCTTCATGTGCGCCCGGAACTACAGCACGTTGAGCACAGCCTTAGCTGGCAGGGGACCACAGAGGTCAGCCTGCCAGCCTGGGGCTGCTCTAACCTGGTTCAACATGCTGTGGAGGGGGCTGGCTGGGGCACAAGGATGCAGGCAGCCCCATCACTGTAGTATCCTCATGTCCCAGTCAGCCTGGTCCCCATCTACACATGCGTTGTGGCAGTGTTATTTAGTCCACTGTAGAATGGTACTTGTGTCTAGCAGTACTATCTTATGGTGGAGTAAATTAGTTTACTCTGGCCTAATAATGTTGCAGATGTAGATGGTGACTCTTTACTGTGGAGCTAATTAGTCAACTCCACAGTGGGCACATCTACGTGTGCGCTTTAATGCACAGTAGCCTATTTTACTGTGCATTAAAGCATCACGTAAAAAAAGGATGATTATACTAATGCACAGTAAAATAAGCTACTGCGCATTAAGCATCACTTAAAATCCATGAGCATTCATTAGTGCGCATTAAAGTAAACTAATGCACATTTGTTTAGTACCTCACATTGGAGGTACTAAATTTAATATGCATTAGGAAAGGTGCCTTAATACATGTGTAGATGTGCCTACCAAGTGCCTTGTGCAGATAAACTCAGTCTTGCACAGTCTTACATACAGCCCCCTATGGTCTTTAGCAGGCCATAAACCTATGCCCACAGGCAAGTTTCTCCTTTATGCAAGGGTTGGAAGAGAGCTAGAGCAAACTAGAAATCTCTGTGTGGGTGTTCAGGATGTAGCAGTCATAATATCGCTACCAGGAAAGTGCAGAGATTCAAGTTTTTACCCCTTTATTATTTATTTCTGACAAAGAGCAGCACAAAGGCATTCCACTCAGGCAGTGTTTCTAGGGGATTATTTCATCTTGTGGATCATTCCAGTCACGTGCCCTTCGACCCCACACCTGACATCACAACACAAGACATGCAGTATGCTCTCAGAAATAAAATGCCTGGCAAGTCTTATTAAGCAACAAAGTTGCTTTTAACCTTATACATTAAACAGAGATAGGGGGAAAAAATAACCACAGAAGTAAATTTATGGGATCACTGGCCATGCCCAGATTTAAAAAAGCAGTGATCTTTCCATCACCTGGACCCCAACATACAAGAGCAGATTGTATTTCGAACTGAGAGGTGAAACAAGGGGTGAGCAGAGCCAGCCTGAAAACAAGCAGCAGAAACAAGTAGCTAACGTGCGTGCCTGCAATTACCTGGATAAATAAGTGCCACCAGTTCATAACAATGATATCAGAAATATTAGATTTTGCAACTTCACAATCTGTTCATTTGTGCTTTTAAGTTAGCTACTAGTATTCTGGCATTTTCATTCAGCAAAACCATCACGCAAGCTTTCTTTGTCTTCATTGTCATTCTGCATAGCAGCAAAATTGCCAGAGGCACATTTAAACTGTTAATTGCTTTAACTATTAATATTGTTTCATTATAAATTCTTGCAAAATATTTGCCTTTTAACTTTCTCTGAGAAAAAACAGAAGGCTCCTTCCATACTAGCTTATTTTTTCCAACCCCAATTTGTTGGACTGTTTAATTATTAATTATAATTTGAAATCAGTGGCAGGGTAGGGTAAGGGTGGCTTAAAACTCATAAAAAGAGTCCTACAACATTACAGGGCATTTTTACACATGCTTGTGCTATGGTGCATCTATTTGTATAAATGGTGAAATGCACATCAGTGCTGATAAAATGGAGGTGGCGTGATTTTGAACTAAAACACATCAAAGGTGTTTTAGTTCAAAAGCGCATCGCTGCCATTTTCTCAGCGGTGACATGCATTTCGCCGTTTATACAAATTATGTGACGCAGCACCACATCTGCTCCGATGCACCTAGTTTCTGGTGCATCAGAGCCGATAAATATGTGTATAAATTTCCACAATGTTAAAACTCATACTAATAGGCATGATGCACTGTGTGACTATGTATATTCAGCCAATGATATACACTTCTTATTTCTGTTCCTTCCCCACTTTTTTTTTATAAAGTTTGTGCTGCAAATTTCCTCCACACAGAGTGGATGCAAAGTAGAAAAACTGGTTAAGATTTTAAAAAATAAGAAGCTAAAGACCATGCATAGACACCTGAAATTACAGCCAGTCTTTCAAAACAGCTTAGCTCCTAATCAGGTGCTTAGGAGAAGAGGCCAGATTACAAAAAGTGCTGAGGAACCAGCGGAAACTGTTGAGACCAAGAGGATCTGCAAGGAGGTCAACATGTTAAAAGTCTGGTCTCTCTTTTTAACAATACCAACTTTCAAGTTCTGTCCATATAGCAGGATACATCTGATCTGACTTTATATCTGCTGAGTTGAATAATATATTCTACTTTTGGAATTAATATACAATATGGTGAACTCTGTGACCTCTACAATGTGTCTCAAGATCATTAGTGATAGTAAGCTAGTGAGATCCCATCCTCTGTCCAATCAAGGATCCTATCAGACTAGTGCAATTAGCCAATGGCACACAAAAGGATTATGTGGCTAGCCTCACATTCAGCTATCTTTGACTTCTCAGGACAAAAAACCAGGTACCAGTACCACTGCTTGCTGTGTCAGCTGGGGGCAGCCTTTTGCACAAGTCTACAGCAGGCCTTGATCTTGTGTCTAGAGGCCACTCTAACTAAAGGAGGATGGTTTTAGCATTGTAAAAGTGACTGTATTGGGTCCCTTGTTCCAGAAAAAGGAGAAGGTGAACACATATGCAGATCTTCTTACAGATACCTATTTCCAAAAATTCTGAAAGAACGTATTGAACCATTGATTTGCTGGTTAAGATTATTCAGTATTGATATAGCTTTCCCTTCGCTTTTGAGTGCATGAGGTGAGAATACACTGAGGTTGACTTAAAATGTGCTTAAATGCAGTGCAAAGGTAAAACAAACAAAAAAAGTGAGATACCCTTTTTGAGAATGTAAGAACTCGAGACCATTGAGCATGTCTAAGGAGTTTGCATGCGACTGCCTTGCTCCATAATATACGAGTTGTATTTTTCATTTTCTAGGCTTGTTGAGTGATTGCAGAATGATTAGTTTCTCGGTCGAGAAAATGCATCCCAAGGCTGTACATCAGAAGATTTGATTTCATCTATGTGCTTTGTTTCCTAGCAGCTTGCGCTCCATAGTACTCATATATTCCTCAGGTTGTGATGTCATCAGGGCTGTGTCCATCTGTCTGAGAGTGCTTAGCTGAAGGTCATGTGATAGGAAATGCTTGAGTTTTGTTTCCTGGCTGTTCTTATTAATTAAAGAACAGAGCATAAACCCCTTTGTTTGCACAAACTACACTTAGCTGTGCTTCCTGCAGGCAATAAGAGGAAGCATTCTTTTGTTAAATGCATGTAGAATTGAGCAAACATAAGTGAAGATATGGTGCTAACGTCAAGGTCACAGGCTCGATCCCACTATGGGACATAAGACCTTTCCTGGCTCAGGCAGGGGGTTGGACTAGATGACTTCTTGAGGTCCCTTCCAGACCTACTTCTCTATAATTTCTATGATCCACTGATCTTTAATGAGGTAAGAGGAAATTCACCCCCATGTAAAGGACCAGTCCAAGAGAGGATATTAATAGTACACTGACTATGTTTTGGTGCTGAAAACAGGGAAGCAGCTCAGCTCAAACACACACAAAACACTGTCTAACGTAGAGTTCTAGAGGGGCTGTCTGTGGATGAAGTGGATTGCTTCATAAAAAGACTTTTTCACCGAGGCCAATTTTTTTTTTGTTATTTCAGGCCTACTTTGCTTTAACATAGGCTGGGATTTTCCAAAGAATAAAAGAATTAGGTGCATAAATCTACTGGATTTCAGTGGGATTTGGGTTCCTTACTGCTGCAGACCCCCTTGAAAAATGCCATCAAAATCGAGCTTCTCTGAATCTAAACAAACATCTTAGACAGGATATACAATAATAGCAAAAACAACAACAACAACAACAGAAACAAATAATAACACAGTAAAAGCACTATTTTTCAGCATGAGTCAGGAATGGAGGGTGCTGGTAGTCTAAAAATGCCAGTTACCTGAGGCACAGGAGTTCTCTGACCAGATGTGGAGCAAGGGGGAAGGAGAGGGGGAAGGGAGGAGAGAGGGAGGGGGGGTCAGACCTTTCCCCCCACCCCCTATTCAGTGAAATCCCAGTTAATAGAAATGCTGGTTAATAAAATGCCAGATAACAGGGCTTTTACTGTAGTTATAATAATAGTAACAATAATAATTGGCAAACCCACATCAAACTCTTTCTATACTTCACTTACCTTGGGCTATTGGTGCTAAGAGTATCGTGAAGAATAGCAACTGTGATGACCACATGACTGTGGAGGGAGAAAGTAAAGATAACCTGGCAATGAGTGCTTCCCAGTAAAACAAAAATAAGTGTCCTCCTGTTCCCTCTTTCAGCAGTCCTTCAGCAGGTCTTCAATTCACATCCAAAGGAAAGGGGAAGGAAAAAAGCCAGCCAAAAATAAAAATAAAATAAAATAAAAAAGCACAGTAAATATCCAGAGTCTGAGACCTACAAAATGAGAGAAAAAAAGAAAGGTCAGTAACAAATTAAAAAGATGTTTTGTTCATATCAAGAAGTTACACCATGACTGCAAGGATAAGGACCAATCTGAGTTCTCATAATTAATGATTATTCACTGTTCAGTAAGGATAATATGGTATCCCTGTGCAGGAAGTTAGCACTTAGCACTTATGTTCCATTTCTTCTTTCAGAATAGGGCTAACCTGGGTTTAAATCAGTGCCTACACCTGGTGCGGACCTTCTGCAGAGAAGTGGCCTAAAAGCTTCTAATTCATTTATGCAGGCATCAAACTTGTCTAAGCTTGGAGTCACTGATTCCAAACCAAGTGAAGTTCTGAACCAGCAATCAAATCACAAATGACCATATATCTTATTTTTAACCCCCTGCCATAATGCCACCTAATGCCTTGCTGATTCAACTTTAGCTCAGTCCCACAAGTACTCATGCTATGCCCTTGTAAGACAGTGTAGCAAAATGAGAACATGTGTGTGAGGACTTTCCTCAATAACATTTCCAACTAGCTACCATATTATACTCATGTTGGAGGATGGGTGGATCAAATAAATCATACCACCAGCTTGTTGTCCTGAATATCAATGGCAAGTTCCACTTAAAACTGTTAACATGTAAGGAATTGTAAAGTCTTTTACAGATCTATAAGACTTTGTGGCTTTCACAAACCTCATTTAATTACAATTCCCTCCAAAGTCCCTAATCACAATAGGTTATGCTTTTCTGAGCAGTGCTCTCTGTTTTTGCCAATTTTTGTTCTTACCCAAGACCCAGTAGAAGCCAAAAACTATACAAAAAACGTGTTGCATGCCATTGAAATGTGGGCATATTTTTGAACCTTAGGCAAGACAATCTTTCCTTTGTTCAGCACTTCTATCCTTGCTCATCAACTAAATCAAACCCTGCATTGTTTAGACCCAAGCTCTCTGTAAGAATGTATCATTTCTTCCAATAAAATGTGTTTGCTTCTACTATACTTTAGTCCAAGCTGGTATTCTCCCCTAGCCCCCACCCTCTGTAATTCACTCAACTGTAGCATTTGTTTTCCAAAGCTTTTATTCAGCTCCATAGCTGAGATGACTAAAAGCTCAAGGTCAGTAGACGGTCAAGTGAGTTACATGTGGACATACTGCTCAAGTTATGGACTCGCCTTCTTGATGGCTCCCAGGGTGTTTTTCTGACCCGCCACTAGCCATAAGGGTCATTCATGACACTTTACACTTATTTTTCAAACAGAACCAAGGTTCTTGAATATTTTAACATATAGGTCTTAAGCAGAATTAAGCAGAACTTCCTCTACCTTAAATGCTGGAGGCTGCAAGTGAGAGAAATAGGGGGAAAACCCCTATTCAAACTCTGTTCACTCTCCCTTTCAGTACCCACTCTCTGCCACTGTGTAACACATAATATTGGGCAAGATGGACCTATGGTCTGACCCAGTAAATGGTAGTTCTTATGTTTTTAGGAAGAATTAATATGCATTCCATTTATACTTCAGACAGTAATCAATACACCTCAAACTAACATTAACTGACCATTACTTATGTCTGTATTTTTAAGACCAGGTCACTGGTCTCAATCACAAGAGGCCTCAATCACGAGAGTTTTAAAAGTCTGAAGCTTCTGTGCTATAGGTATTTAAAATAAAATTGCACAAAATAAAATAACTACAAATGAATACAGGGGAGAGCTAGTAAGGCCTTGAACAAGAGACTCAGATAAATTTTATAAATTGTCATATTATGAAAAGAAAGTGTTATGGTGCAGTAAAAACATTTGGGACAAATTTTGGAAATGATATACAAATAAATTTATAATATAAATGTATTTGTGTATATATTATATACACAAACAAATTATACTCCACATTCCAAATAAGGAAGAAGTAGTAATGACATGTATTGGCTAAACCACATCATCACAGATCTTTGTTAGCATATATTTTCTCATTCCCTGATCCACAGATCTATATTGTTTCAGTACCAGAGGATGCAAATGTATATGCCATGGACAAAGAAAGACCACTGATTCAAATATTATTAATGGTATAAGGTACAAAATACATTTTCTATACAATCATAAAGTTAGGATTTTAAGATATAGGGACAGATCCTATTTCATCTTTTGGGCACATAACTGCAATCCTACTCCACTCTGCTCATGTTCCCCCTCCCCAAAGTTAACATAGAGTGGATGAGCCTCCTCCTCCTTGCTGCTTTTTTTTCACTTAATCTTAGGACAAGGGGGATAGTTTGCTGCAAAAGTGGGGGCATTAATGTGTTTGCCATGGAACCAAGCCAGGCAAAATAGGATCGCACTTTGGCATCTAATACGTAAAACAGAATGTGGTTCCTAGCATCTTCTATGTGCCAGGACTAGAAATAAATGCTTCATCCCATTATTTAAAAAAATGTAATGCCCAATTATCTAATGTCCTTAAGCTCTTGGACCAGATTCCAAGATAAGGGATTCAAATCAATTTACTGTTTACACTATTTCTGAATATGACTCAGTATCACTCGCACTGATAATCCATGAGATACTGCACCTTCACCATACTTCCAGGACTGTTTCTAGTCTTCCTCCTGAAGAGATCAAAGGGCAGTGGAGTTGTGGCATCATGCCTCTGCGAGCTTCCCTCTCAACTGAACAAAACAGGCACAATCTCTCCTGTAATGATGATAGACCCCTCTGTTACACTTGCCTAATTCCATAAGCAGAATACCCTTTAGACTCCAGTACAGCATGCATCAACCCAAATGCTCAATGAACACGCACTGTTGGATCTGATGCAGCATGCACTGGCTGATATAGACAAACCCATTCTTATAGGGATTAGGACATTATTTTGAGAAATTACTATAGTTCTTCAAAATAAATGGGACCCACGGTCTTAACCCAATGGAAAGAAGAGTAGGAAACTACAAAGTCTGGGTTGAGCTCACAGCTTTACTAAGATGTTTATGTGGCCAAGCACTTACTTTGTCACTCTGATAAAAAACAGTTGTAAAGGAAAAATGAAATCATTATGGTCAACTCTTATAGGTGGTGGGGAAAACACAGTCTCAAGAAAAGCATTAGAAAAAGCAAAAAAACCCTACAAAATAAAATTAATTGCATATTCTGGATCCTCTGGACATAAAATGCAGCCAAACCAGAGAGACCACTGATGAGCTTTTAAATAATAAATACTGTATTTACTGGTTGCAAGAAGAGGACATTCCTTCAGTGTGAACAATTTAGAAGTTGCATTTGACCCGCAGGGGTCTCCACTTGAACCATCAAGTAAATGCAAGCTGTATTAATTTACAAGAAGGTTCTGCTGAACACTGACCTTTCTGACTGCAGTGCTGTCATCAAGAGCCACATATCCTGATTTGCTGTCAAACATCGAGCTAAGTGATTTACACACTAGTAGCTCCTAAAGCACAACTCATCAATGGACTGATGGAAAAGGAGAAAGCCAAAGGATACTCTGGCATTGGAGACTAGAAATGTGCTGTGTGATACCTGTCAAGATGATCATTCTTAAAAAGACTGTTATGGATATAATGATGAATATAATGCCTAGCAAAGTCCATTCCTCAATACCGGATGTCAACCAACATCTGAAAGATCTCTTGTGTTACTTTAATGACAGTCTAAAGGAGGAGGGAAGGAAGGGGAAGAAATCTGAGAACTAGTCAATGCCTAGATGTGCTGAATTCAAAGTTGACCTAAGTAGCACAAGTAGAACTTGTTCAAAACACAGTCTCTGAGCTCTCGGCTGCCTGGAATCTCATGCAACCACTTACAGTTGAGCAACATGGAAGGAAAACATCACCATTTTGCCCTGGTAGCATTTCACCCCCGCCCCAAATTCTGCCCAGGCAGTGTTTCACCAACATTTCACTGGAAACTTGACCTGTTAGGTTCTCCACTTGCACTCCAGCAAGTCCTCTAGCTAGGCAGAATTACTTGCTTAATAGTTTCAAACAACTAAATTACCTCTTACAGTACAGATCTGTATTCTTTAATAAAAAAAAAAAAAAATAGCCCTGGACTTCTTATCTCTTTCTTTTGTAAAACTTGCTTACTTAGGAGAAAATAAGTTCAATGCTTTAAGCAGATATTGATTAAAGTTGCTGTTTGCAAAAGAAAAATGCCTGCAAGTAATTAACCCTTTGATGCTGGTGATTGCAGAGAAACTGCAGTGCCATAAATGCAGTGCTCTGTTCTCAACATCTGTTTAACAGGATTCTGCTTCCCAAATATGTTTTCATGATTTCACTCTAGGAAGCAAAAGGGGAACAAGGAAAAGGGAAAATGTACTGCTTCAGCAAACAGTAAACAATGACCTATAATTTTAAGGTAATATAATGTAAAAAGGATGTTCTCAAGCAAAAAAAAAAATAATACTTTAAAAAAAATTAACTGGCTTAAAAAATTTAAATTGTTAAAAAAGAAACAACTGTTAAATAACGGAATTCCTTGTCTCTGATCAGTTGCTACACTTTAATAAACTTCTTTCAACTTCAGCAACAAAGCAAGACTTTTTTTCTTCCTTTCCCCTTAGCTAGTTTCAAGTCATTTTAGTTTTCAGTTTCTCATTCAGCACTGTACATCGATGTAATGTTTAGGTTGCAAACACTGCAGGGACACATTTATTCATATAAAAGGTTTTCCAATGGCAGTGTTAAATAAGGAATCACAGACACATATTTTAGGTTTTCTGAAAACTTACCAGTAAATTTGCAGCTGAAACTGAACTAACACTGTAATGCTACATATTTTATTCCAAACCACAAACAAAAACAAACTCACTGTCTTCATAGATTTCAGTGTTGATTGTTTTTCAATTGAAGAATTTCAGAGGCTGAAATGCCCCACCTGACCCAACCCAAAGGCTCCAGAGGCAGATCCAGGGGGGATGTACCAGGGCACTTGCATTCCCCCTTTGATTCCTGCTCCACCCAAAATTAAAACCCAACTGCTT